TTTGGTGAATAAGTTTTAGATGAAACCAATAGAATTTTTTAAGATCTTTAATATTAATTTATTTAGTTAAAATTTATTCTTAGTATTCAAATTAGTATGGTTCAATTGAGAATGGCTTTTTAATTCTTTTAATTTTTTAATTCTTTTAATTTACATATAAAAAATATTTAATTGTAATGGTTATAAAGTTTAACATTTAGTTCATTCATCATCTACATTTTATTCCGCTTGTTTCTTTAACATTTTTGTTCCATTTTGATCATATCGTTCTCAGTGGTTCTCTTATGGTCACGAGTTATATATGTTTTGAGAAAAATAGTTCACAAATATCTTTTCCTTTTTAAAATGTTTTTTAAAATCCTACTTTTTTCATGACTAGTTTTATTTCCTTAAAAATAAAATAAAAAAATATATCAAACTTCATAAAAAAGGTTTTTACAAGTTTTATTTCCTTAAAAATAAAATAAAAAAATATATCAAACTTCATAAAAAAGGTTTTTACAACCTCCTATTGTAGTTTTAAAAATGATCAAAACAATGTTTTTAATCTGTTAATGGGAGATAATTTAGCACATCAATTGATATAACTGGATAAAAATAATTTATTTCACTTAACCGAATCAAATCATACAAAAAAAAATCAAATTAATATTAAAATATACCAAGCCATATCCAACAATGATAAAATATTTTTAGAGTAAATCGTCTTTTTATCACTTCCGTAAATTGGTTTTTGAGTAAAAAACTTGATAGCAAAGTCTATTAGCTTTGGTATCAAATTGATGCAATTTGTCAATCTAGATTTCAATCTATGACGTACGAAAACATGTTGAATTTGCATGAAAAATATCACGTTTTACTAGTTTTTGGATTCGGACAAAAATGATAGCGAAGACAAGGTGATGTACCATTGTAATTTTCTAGTTATTGAAAATAATTGGACAAATTCAAATCTAGGAGTACAATGTTCCATATATCAAAAGGAAGAGAAAAAAAAATCGTGTAGCTTTTTTAAATGAAAATATATTGGTTGTATTGGTGAATAACAAACAATAATAATTGAAGCACAAGATGTATTTCAGAGGACATATACTAGAAACGAAAAGCATGAGAAGAAAAAATAAAAAAATGTGTTTGAATTTCAGTGAGTGTAATCATTGAAGAAAAGACTCAGGCTACATGTCCTCGCACTCGGTAAACTACCTCGGTCTTTTTCTCAAACTTTTTCAGTGTAACAAACTTTTGTGAGATACACACATTTTCTAAAGTTGATGTGTTAAATGGAGAAATGTCTTGTGTATCAAACTATTAGATCATCTCCAATGGGAGCTTTTGATGGGTTTCTTCTAGAGTTTTTTTTTTTAATTAAAAAAAAGAAAAGAAAAAACAAGTGTGGTGTCAATTGTAGAGCCTCATGAAAAACCATGACTTGAAATTTTGATTTTTTTCATTGGTTCAAATGTTTTAGTGATAAATAATAGTTTAGAATAATAATTATATACTTTATATGCTGTTACTTTTAAATTTTTGTTTTTTTGTAAAATTTTAAAATAAAATTATCTATCTATTAAGTTCCATTATGCATAAGTTTAAATTATATACTAATATTATTATTTACATAGTATTAATTAAGTTTAATACAATTAATAATATTTTACATATTAATATTACATTGGTTTGTAATATATTAAATCATAAATAAAATTATCTATATCTATTAAAATCTATTATGCATAAATTTTAGGGGCAATTACAAATATGCCATTTTTGTGTGCACATTTGTAAGAATGCCACTTAGGGGTGCACATTTGCAAAAATACCACTAATTATAGATTTATAACGCCTATATCTTAAAATTCTAAACCTTAAAAAATATTTTGACCCCTAAAACTCCCTAAACCTTCAGAACTAAACCATAATAGAACATAATTAACTCATACATAAATAATATAAAGAAAAAATAATTATGAAAAAGTGACATTTTTGTAAAAAATTCAAAAGTGTTGGCATTTTTGTAAAGTGGCACTTGAAAAGTGGCATTTTTAAAAAATTTCTCTAAATTTTAATTATATTTTGATATTAGTTTTTACTTGATATTAATTAAAGTTAATAAAATAGTATAAAATTAGTATTATTTTAGTTAAATTATATTATGATTAATTGTGTTTGTAATAAAATGTAATGTATTGCATTATTTTGGTTATATTTTTTTACAATGTATTAAAATTAAAAAATTTATTATATTTACTATTAAAGATGAAATAGATAAATATAAATAATTATTTTATTTACATATATTTAAAATGTA